AAAAAATTTGGTATATTTTTTAAAAAATTTGGTAGATTTTTTTTAAAATTTTTACATTTTTTTAAAATTTTTTAGATTTTTTTTAAAATTTTTATAGATTTTCAGCAAAATGGCGATCCAGTTTGAGTCCAGTTTGAGTCCAGTTTGAGTCCAGTTTCATACAAACTGGATCGCCATGGTTGAGTTTCATATGAAACTCAACCACCATGGTTTAGTTTCATATGAAACTCAACCATGGCGATCCAGTTTGTATGAAACTGGACTCAAACTGGACTCAAACTGGACTCAAACTGGATCGCCATTTTGTTGAAAATCTATAAAAATTTTAAAAAAATATAAAAAATTTCAAAAAAAAAATAAAAATATTTAAAAAAATCTACCAATTTTTTTTAAAAAATATACCAAATTTTTTTAAAAAATCTACCAAAATTTGAAAAGAATCCAGCAACATTTTAAAAACAAATCTAACAAAATCTTTCAAAAATGCATATCCAAACTTTAAAGAATTACATACCTTTTTGTAAAAACCTATACCGGTCTTCTTAAAAATGTATATGAATAAACTGAAACATGTTAATGCATTGAAAAATAACATTAACATAATGGTTGCAACTGGACCTTAGTAAAACTACAATATAAAACAAAACACAAAAAATCACAAGTATCTGAAAAATCTTCACATAGAATAATGTGTTGGTTTGAAAAGAGTGTAGCAAAACTATACTTCACAGTTCATGTGTATTGTGAAAAGAACATATTGAAGACGGAAAGGAATAATTATGAACCTCAAAACAATATATACGTATCCAATACAAAAAAACGCTGTGTCCGTGTGGGTGCCTGCATGTCTACCCCTCAACCCCAAACCCTAAGCCCCTGAACCTCTAGACACCTTGAACTTTAAACCCCAAACCCTAAGGCCCGAAACCCTAACTTAACCACCGAACCCGAACCCCAAACCCTAAACCCTGGAACCCCTAAACCCCTGAACCCCAAACCCTAAGCCCCTAAACCCCTAGACACGTTACCCCAAACCCTAAATCCAGAAACTTCGACAGAAGCCCTGACCGGAGCAACCGCCCAAGCCCCCCAAAACCCGCAACCCTGGAAAACCCTTCTGCTCGGCCGCCCGTTTTGGCACCACAGCGGAGGCAGAGGTAAGAAGATCCGAGAGCCCCTCAGAATGCGACCTGGGAGCTTTGTTCTTGGTTCGGGTTGCTACCTAGCTTTGCCTAGAGATGCTACCTAAATGTACGTGCGACTAGACTATTTTTGTGCTACCTAGAGCTTTTTTTTTGATACCTAGTTTTGTTCTGCTACCTAGAGTTTTTGCTACTTAAATTTTTCTGCTACTTAGATTTTTTTGTTACCTAGATTTTTTGTGCTAGGTAGAGTTTTTGCTACCTAGTTTTGATGCTACCTAGGAATTTGTTACTTAGAAGACACGTGACTTAGATTGCATTACACCTGCTACTTATTTAAATGCTGTACACTGCAACTTAGAGCTGGCCTCTGCCTCCTTCTTTTTCTTTTTCTTTTTTTCCTTCTTTTTCTTCTTGGAAGACTTTCGGAAGACAGCCTGCACGGGAAGTTTGGCGGTGCACTGAGTCTCGTGGCTCTGTGTCCCCCGCCTGCTTTCTTCTCTAATCTCCATCCTTTCTTTCCTTCTTTCTTCCTTTTCGCTCCTGCAGGATAAAGCTACAAGTATATGCGACTTAGAATCCCCAGGCCCGGAAGTTTTCTCCTCGTGGCCAGCTGGATCATCTCCTCCTCTCTTTCCAGACTTTTCTTTCTTCTCCTTCCTCTCCTTGCTTTTGCCCTTCTTGTGGCGTTTCTCCTTCTTTTCCTTTTTTTCCTTTTCCTTTTCCTTTTCCTCTTTTCTTCGGCGCTTTCGCCTCTCCTCCTCCTCTGCTCTGCGGAGTCTTTTCTGCTCCTTGGCTCTTTCCTTCTCCTTGAGCCTTCTTTTTTGCTCCGCTTCTGCTCGGAGGAGAGCTTCACCTCTCCTCCGAGCAGCCAGAAGAGTGGCTGCTCTGGCCCCCTCCGGCTCGATGACCTCGTCATCCTCTTCGCTTTCCGACTCCTCCTGCTCGTCAGACGAGGTAGTCGAGGGTGCCCTTGGAGGGTCCTTCGAAGAGCCAGCCCCCTTCGAAGAGCCAGCCCTGGCCTGCTGCCTCCTCTGCCAGGGCAGCATCCCTTTCACCTCAGTTGAGAGGGAGGTTTGCTAGGTAGAATTTGCTACCTAGAGACTTTGCTGCCTAGAGTCCTGTTACTTAGAATTTGCTACCTAGGGTTTTTGCTACCTAGAGTCCTGTTACTTAGAATTTGCTACCTAGGGTTTTTGCTACCTAGAGTCCTGTTACTTAGAATTTGCTACCTAGGGTTTTTGCTACCTAGAGTCCTGTGACTTAGAATGTGCTACCTAGTGGATTCCGCTACGTAGAGAAGCATGTTACCTATCCAGTCTTTTTGCTACCTATAGAGCCTTGTTACCGAGAGGCTCTCTTAGAACTATATTTCTTGCCAAGTGGCCGCCAGCGACTTGCTAGCAGCAGTGGCATTCGCCAGCTGCTGCTGCACGGAGCCTCGAGGGCGAGGTGGAGGTCGTGGGCTCCGTAGGCCAGGATCCCGGCATGGCCTCTGCTCGTAGACCTCCTGCCACGGATGCTCCCCTGCTGCTGCTGCTGCTGCTGGTGCTGAGCTTGCTGCTGGCTCTGCTGCTGCACTGGCCGCTGGGCTTGCTGCTGGACTGGCCGCTGGGCTTGCTGCTGCCTTTGGGCTTGCTGCTGCCTTTGGGCTTGCTGCTGCCTTTGGGCTTGCTGCTGCCTTTGGGCTTGCTGCTGCCTTTGCTGCTGCCTTTGGGCTTGCTGCTGGGCTTGGGCTTGCCGCTGGGCTTGCTGCCGGGCTTGCCCTTGGCCTTGCTGCTGCTGCTGGCTCCTCAGCAGGACTTGTTGGAGTCCGAGGTGCTGCTGCTGGTGCAGCTGGAACAGCAGCCTCCTCTGCTGGTGCTGCTGGTGCTGCAGCTTTCGGAACAGCAGCCTCCTCTGCTGCTGGTGCTGCTGGTGCTGCAGCTTTCGGAGCAGCCGCCTCCTCTGCAGGTGCTGCTGCTGGTGCTGCTGCAGCTTTGGCCTCTGCAGCTGCTTTCGGAGCAGCAGCCTCCTCTGCAGCTGCTGCTGGTGCTGCTGCAGCTTTCGCCTTTGCTGCTGCTTTGGGAACAGCAGCAGCCTCCTCCTCTGCTGCTGCTGGTGCTGCTGCAGCTTTCGGAGCTGCAGCTTTCGGTGCTGCTGCCGCTTTGCCCTGGCCTTTGCCCTGCCAGGGTCGTTTGCTGACCCGGTAGCCAGCCACACCTGCAGGCAAAGCTGTCACGGCTTCTTCGGCTTCCTCCTGCGAGCTGTAGATGACATAGCCAAATGTCAGCGAGTGGCCACTCGGAGCCACCTCCGCATACACCGGCCACGTAGTGCTGCAGCACCAGTGGTACAGCTCCTCCGACGACAGCCAGGAGGGAAGGCCGCCGAGCCAGACCGTGCGGTCTGGCGGCAGGTTGGCCATGGCTATGGCTCTCGTGAGATGCTACCTAGAGAAGCATGCTACTTAGAACTTTGGCCTAGTTAGTTAGTGTGTGTGTGTGTAACTAAGCAAGTAAGTGTGTGTGTGTGTGTGTGTGTGTTTGTGTCTGCAGTTGTCCGTGTGTCTGTGTCTGTGTTTCTGTCGGTGTTTCCGTGTGTGTCTCAGTGTGTCTGTGTGTGTGTGCCTCTGCTTGTCCGTCTGTTGGAAAGTGGCTGCAAGTGTGCCTGTCTGCTGGTCCTACACAGCGGCCACGTGTTTGGCCTGTCGGGGGAAGGAGAACCGCTGAGTGGAGACTACTGTGTGTGTGGTGCTTCTGTGAGAAGAAACCTAGAACCTTCAACCTTAAACCCTAAATCAGGGGTCCCTGTGTGCTAGTGTCTGCAGTGTGCTCTTTCTACCGAGTGCTGTGTTTGCCCTGCTTCAGTTTTGTGAGGTCTCTGTCGTGGCTGCTGTGCCTCTCTCCTCTCTGGGTTCTCCTCCTGCGAGCCATCGGAGCGAGCGACGGCCGAAAAGTTCTTCGGGCTCTGGGCTGCAGAAGGGCTTCAGGTTAGGGGAAAACCTGGCTTGCTTCCTAGCGCCTTTGTGCTGCCTAAATGGATTGCGACCTAAAAGATGTAAGTTAAATTTCGAGATGGATTGCGACCTAGAATAAAAGCTGTTACTTAGATTTTTGCTACCTAGATGGATTGCGACCTAGCAAAAGCATTGCGACCTAGAAAAAGCTGCTACTTAGATTTATGCTACCTAGATGGATTGCGACCTAGCACAAGCATTGCGACCTAGAAAAAACTGCTACTTAGATTTTTGCTACCTAGATGGATTGCGACCTAGCAAAAGCATTGCGACCTAGAAAAAGCTGCTACTTAGAATTTTGCTACCTAAATGGATTACGACCTAGATAAAGCTGTTACTTGGATTTTGGCTTCCTAGATGGTTGGTGGGCTAGATAAAGCTGCTACTTAGATTTATATGGCTACATAAATGGATTCTGACCTAGATAGAGCTGTTACTTAAGTTTTTGCTACCGACATGGATTGGGACGTCGACAAAAAGCTGGTACTTAGATTTTGTGCTACATAGAGATCCTACATTTTGGAACCGCTGGGGCCTGCTGCATAATCGGATTCGGCGCCTTTTTTAAAGCTGCCTCCTAAATCCTAGGGACTATATGTAGCAACCGAGCCTGCCAATCAGGTGTATTATATGTGACTTATAGAGGTGCTTCTTGTGTGCCTTCGCTAGATTTCAAGTAAAAACTATCTCCATTACACGTCGCTGTGCTACTTTTTTGGTGTTTCATGCTATATCAGAACATCTATTGCCAAACCACAAGTGTGAAGAAAAACTAAGAACCCTGAGCTTTTGGGAAAACCCGAACAATTAATCCTGCCCGCCAAAAAGACTTCTATTTTTTTCCTCGCCACCCAGAGGTTTCAGTCAGTCTCGACGAGCTTGCCAGAATCGATGAGGGCGGCCACTTCCCGCATCTTCTCTCTGGCTTTCTTTTTCGCTGACTGCGGAGACAAGCCCAGTCGCTCTTGAAGGCACTTTTCCCGGTGGTAGGCCTGGCTCGTTTTTCTGTGCTTGAAGGTAGTTTTAAACTTCTTTTTCTCTCCCTCCTCGGTGGCAGCCTCCTCCGTTTTCGGCGCTTTTTTGGTCTTTTTCTTTGTAGCAGCAGCTGGTTTCTTGAAAGCAGCAGCTGGTTTCTTCAAGGCCCTCTTCTTCGTAGGCGAAGACACCAAAGCTTCATCTACGGCCTTCGCCGCCTCACTGTCCAGCACGTCGGACAAGGCCGCCTCCCGAGGCGAAGCCTGCTTCCGAGGCGAAGCCTGGTTCTTCCGAGGAGAACAAAGAGCTCGCACACGAAAAGGCTGCGAAGCTCGAAGCCTTTTGCTCGGCGAAGCTTTAGGCGGGTCTGCTCGAAACTCAGATTCCTCGCTGCCCTTTTTCGCGAGGATTCTACTGAAGACCGAGCTGCCTGCTGCCTGGTCCTTTGGCGGCTGCCACAGTACCAAAGCCGTGGAGGCAGAAGCTGAGGAAGTCGAAGGTTGGCTCGCCTCGGCTTTCTGAGCCGTTTTCGCACTTGCAGGGTCCTGCAAGAAGGTCAGCAACTTGTCCAGACCTTCCCTTTCCTCCAAGCTGGCTTTCCTCATTGCCGGGAAATACTTATCGTCCTTCTTCAAGTCCCGAAGTTGCGACATCAGGACACGGACCCTCTGGTCGATGCCATCCGTGTAAGTTTCCACGTCCATGCCGTGTTTGGACATCCTCAGCTCCGGGGTCTCGAGGCATCGGCGAACTGCAGCTCGGAGTTTGACACTCGGGAGAACGGCATTCGGAGCGACCCCAAGCAGGTCCTGTAGCAAGTAGCGGCTCTGGTAAAGCCATTCGACATTGATGGCTGTCTTCCATGACCATTGAGCCCCACGGGGACATTGCACCGTGTGCCAAAGGTCAGCCCGTCGGACTTGCTCCCTGAAGCACCTCTGCAGGTCCCCCACAGCTATCAGGGGGTCGCACTTCAGACGGGTATCCATGGCAGCCATGGCAGAGTTCAGCAGCAAAATGCTGCTTTTTTTCTTTTTCTGCTACCTAGAAACCTTTGCATGCGTTTTTCTTTCCAACATCTCGACTGTGGAAGTGCAAAGCAAAACCTCAAGCCTGCTCTCTATGCTACCCCTCTAAACTTAGGGTTTATAAGGTTTAGGGTTTAGGGGTTTAGGGTTTGTAGGGTTTAGGGTTGCAAAACTGGGCCGATCCGGAGTCCCTGCACCATGCCGTGGTACTATGGGTGGATCTACGAGAACGAAGATTGTTGGGAGGATTGGAAGAGTCCAGAGCCCAAAACAACCAGTGATGCCTCTGACTATGACTCGTGCGATGATTGGTGGGATCCCGACGACTGTGTACAGCAAACCCGGTCGAAGCTGGTGAACAGTCGATGTCGCTGTGCTTTTCTGAGAAAATCACTGCAAAAGAGATGGATCCTGAAGCACCGAACCCGTACGGTCTATATAATTCGCATCGCAAACACTTCTTGCTGCCAACCATCGTTCCGGTTGCACAACACAGGACACTGGAGAAATCTTCCCAGGAAGAGCTTAAAAAGATCGATGCTGTTGTCGTTTCCTGCCTGCTGTGGGATCTTGGATTGTTCAAAGACGGCTGGAATTTGCTCCAAAGCTTCCATGTATTCTTTCGCAAACAAGCGGTCGAGGCCTCTCTTGCAGTTGTTTCTGAGTTCCCTAAAAACATTCCTTCAACCACAAGCAAAGGTCTGCCACTTAGAAAAATATGTCAATTTCAATGTTCTATGCAAAAATCTATCAAACTGGATGCTAGTTTGACAAACACAGTAAGCAATTTCTAAGCTATATTCTACAGTAGGAAATAGGCTATTTCAGATATAACCTATAAAATAACCTATAGAATAACCGGAAGAATAACCTATAGTTTATTTATATAAATAACCTATATAGGTTATTTTTGCCAAATAGGATATATGTCCCAAAATAGCCTAACCTGATCTTGGAGGATTGTGATCTGCACAGGAATTCGCAGCTTCGTCTACGGGTTGCCAAAGCAGTTCGATGAATGCATTGCGCGATTCAAGGACGAAGCGGTCCGTAGAGGACTCGCCGCCTGTGACATCCACCCCTTCCTTGGAGATTTGGCGCTCTATAATGACAACGTCCATTTCCGCGAGGACAGCGAATCCCGCCGCAAGATGGTTTCGGGTTTAGCCCACATCATGCAGATCGAGATCGCCGAGCGCTACGCCTCCAGAGCCATAGCGAAAATGGGCGAAGCCGCCTTCCAATCACTGCTTGCTGAAAATTATTTTGATTCCCGTGGTCGCTACGCAGTGGATAACCATGTCCTGCAAGCGGCTCTTGCGAGGATGACGAGAAGCAAGCAGGTCAAAGCGGAGCCAACGGAGGAGGATCCGTGGGACGACGCATACTGGGAGGAGAAGCGTGACGAAAGTCACGCCGAACTGCCTGCGCCTGAGGTCCCCGACTTCCTCAAGGAGATGAAGATTCAGAATGTCATCAGCGTCGCGCCCGGTGTTTTCGCAACAGAAGAGGAGATCAATTCGCCGGAATGGAACAAAGCCCCACCTAAGGTGGAGGCCGTTACCCCGGCGAGTACTGCGGCTTCGTCTTCTGGCGATATTCGACCAATGCCGATCGACGCATCCATTTATGGTGGAGGCATTCTGTCTGGCGACTCTGGCACCGAGCACGCTGCAAAAAGAGCTCGCCTCGCAAAGGCTGAGGCCGACAAGCAGCGATTGACCAAGCTCGCAGTGCAGGGATCGCGCGGAATGAGGTTCATGAATGACACCTACGACTTCGCCGAGATGACTGGCATTACCCTGTATGATTACTGGAACGAATGCCCCTCGCAAGAGGAGGCCGACCAGTACATCGAAGTGTTCCAAAAAGACATGACGCCAGGCCTACACTACCCCAGATGTGACCACAAGATGGTCACATTTGTCACTGGACTGATCAGGGGCAACTTCGAAAACAAGGGTAATCAATTTAAAATGCGATCGTGGAGCGGGCCATGGGTACTAGCCATGGAAGTGCTTGAGGTTGCTAATCGATGCAGACCTGGAAGCGACATCGGTTTAGGAAGCCTCCTCGACATGATCGCCACCGACAACAAACAGCGCCTTATGTTTCGCGGACCAATGGACAGTGCTGCCGATGCAATTGGCCAACCGGCTTTTCCGGTCTACGTCGGTTGTACGCAAGGCCACTCCAGCAATCTGCAGCTCGACAATGCCTCTATTGCAAAGGCATATCTTACACTGCAGCGTTCTGAAGAGCTGGCTAATGCCGCCCGAGAGGGCAGGCCGTTGATCCCGATTGATAAGGCGCCGCCCAGACTCTATCATCGCACAACACATGATGCGGCGTATGCGATTCTGGAAGATCGTTTGTTGCCTGGTTTTGGAGGTTCTGAGAAGGCGCATTGTTATTTTGCGCCGCTGCCGCTCGAAGAGCAAAAGGCACGTTCAGGACTCCGTGCAAGCGCACCAATTGAGATCGTCTTTGACACCCGGGAGGTCCTCGAAGCTGGTTGCGACCTATTCCTTACGGAGTCTGATGGCATACTGTGCTCCGAGGCAGTGCCCGGCTCGACCATCTTGTTCATCAATGACACGCAACGCGATGTCGTACTTTGGTCCCGTGCGGGAGGCGCTGTCCCTCCTGATGAGGCGGAACAAGGTGAAAGCCCAGCTAACGCTGAGGCCGGCATCGATATCGTTCTTGATGAACCCGAGGCTGAGGAGACGACTCAGGACAATTTCGCACCGCCTATTGATGAAGAACATGGTACCCTTCCAGCTGAGGAAACATCCCTACCGCCCATTCCAGATGTCGCTGATGTGCTTGAGGGATCGTTGGCTATCACCGATGCCCCTGCAAAGGCTGACGACGATGAAGCTCCTGATGATGAGCAAATGCCCTCCGTAGAGGAGAGGCCGCTTGTTGAACCAGGCACCATCATTGCACAGCCGGGTCCTCCAATCAGGACTGTGTACATCGGTGACGGAATGGCGACAACGGTGACGCTGGATGCTGAGGGTACACCAGTTGAAGCAATCCAGGAGCCGGTGGGAAGGCCAGAACCAGTACTTTATGCTGGTAGTGAGACCAAGCCATCCGCCGCGTTTTTGGAGAAAATCAAATGCTACCACTGCAAAGCTGAGTGTCTTCAAGGCCAAAGGATTTGCTCTCAATGCGGAGGGCCAGTTCGACCAGGTCAATTGAAGGCACAGGGCAGACGGACGCTGTTGGCACGTGGGCGTGAAGCTCTGCTTCAGGAGATGGGTGATGCCGCTGAACGAGTGGGAGTGAGGCCAAGCCTTCAAAGCGCATCGAAAGATGTCGCCGGCCGTGGCATGAACTCCTTAGAAGGCGAGGTTATTCGGAAAGCCAAAGTGGCAAAGCAGAGAGCCGTGAAAAAGGGCTACACTGATTGCGTGGCGAGGTTCAATCATGACAATGAATACGCAATTTCAATGGCCAAAGAGGGATACACACGCAGAACGATCCGTGCCCTCGACTGCCTCTGCTTCGCCTACCTTCCGAACCCTGGCCGCACTCGATCGCAACGCATGCTGGCTATTGGATCCTCCAGAGCGGCGAGTTCCACGCACCAGACCCGCACGGACGAGGTTCCAGAGTGTCGTATCGTTTTCTTTACCGGAGACGATGGCATTGGCGGTAAGTTGTGCGCAGCGGGACTAACGTCCACGCCGGAGGATACGCCAGTAGCATTTACATGGTACGGAGCCATCCTTTCGTTCCAAGATTTCGCTCACAACATCGCCAGGCAAAAGGGGGGCATCCGTCTACAGACTTTTGGCCACGGCAAGGTGGATTCCTCAACTACGATCCCGCTGCAGTGGGTACGGACCTGCAGACCGTTTTGGCAAAGGACCTACCCTTCATGGTGGAGACGGTTGATGAAACCATCAAAAAGGCCAATCAAAGTCGTGCTGCCCAGCCGAAGTATGCCCAGCAGCATCCGCCAGGTGGTGGCAAGGGCTCTACATATGCCCGAGCAGCAGAGAAGGGAAAAGGCAAAAGCCCGGCTAACGCCGAGGCCGCCGATCGCACCAACCGCGACTGGGACTGGGATAATCAATCCTGGTGGCAGAATTGGTCTTCGTCATCCTGGGGAACATGGAGCGGCCAGAACTGGGACAACCAGAACTGGCGTGAGTGGCGCAATCGCGGATGGCGTTGGAACTGATAAGCCGACCCAGTAGTCTGATTCTTTCGAGCAAGAGGGATGTTCATCCGGCCTATGATATTTTTCAAGTGGCTGTGCGGCGAACTCCTATCATCCTTGCTCCACGCTGAAACCAGCGTCTTGCATTTGAAGAAAAGCTTGCATGTAGTTTTTCGCACCCTTCCTCGAGGCACACGATAGTCACATGTACTTTTGCTGAACTGATGACGCGGGAGGCAACTCCACGCCGATCGTCAAACTCCGAGCCGAAGCGCTCTTCCACCTGCAGGCGAAGGTATGCTGTGTTTTTGGATGCAGTGACCGTGCCTTTAGGTGAGGGGGGTGTAGTTTTGCATCGCAGCTTGCGTAGGAGTTTGTATGGTCGTGTACAGTCATCATGTTGTGTATACTATACCGTGACGTTCGTGCCCAAGCCCTCTGAGTTAAAAGAGCCGTAGTCTCGCTCATGGCTTAACGGTTTTGGTGTATTCTATAATGCTTCACAAGAGTAAAGATTTGGGGTCTGTTATCGTTACTATAACCAACCATATAGGGACTATACGCGGGAACATTTACTACTGCTAGCTAGCTATTCGGATCCCTCCGTTACTTGAGGCTTTCACAGTGGCGACTCTGGGTTCATCTTAGTAGTAGAGTAAGCACCCTCTACCTTCTTCGAGGTTACAATGATCCCTATATGACCCCGAGTTCCCCTAAGAAACTGGGCAACTAAGGCTCATTCCCTCGTCAACCAGTCTGGCGACGAAGATACTGATGTAGCCCTGACCTCACG